TGGGACGTCGGCAGGTTCGTCCATTCTCTCCTTCCCCCAGTCCCCGTTCCTCTCGACGTCGTGTTGATATTAATCTGCGGGGTTCTTTGTCTTACCAACAGCCTGTTCTGCCACGTTGACGGCGTTCGTCATTCATGCACCGACCCTGCCAGATCAGACCTAGCTTTCCAGTGGTGACCGAATCGGATCTGCGACCAGATCTACCAAATGCTTGTGGCTTGACAGCCACAAATGTCTGCCTACAGGCTTATCAGCATCAATGTTATACTACTTCCCATTTTGTTACGATTGCTTATCAGCTTGACACTGTTGAAAATCAGTTGTTGTATGACCATAATGGTCCACCTCCTGAAGGTAGTAATTATACTACCTCAGGAGGCTTTACTGTTAATGTCTTACAGCTAGCATTCCACGGTCGCCACCTTCTTATGCATCATGCGACGCCAGGCGATGACCTTAATGACCATCCTCATATGTCTGCCTGTATTTTGCACAGACCCAGGCATTATATGGCACTCATTTGTGCAGCTGCCCAGTGGGAACTGTGGGACGGTGGGACAATGATTCAGGCTATTTTCAACATAAATGAATTTCTGTGTGCATTGCCGAATCATACTTTATTCTGGATTATTGACCGACTCTCGTGTGACACCTGTCGGGCCAGGGAAGCGATGCGTCTTGGCTGCGGAATTCATCACCTACGCCATCAACATTATCAATCTATTGCAGCCACCACCGTCTGTGCCAAAGGGTGTCCAACATTTCCTCATTGTACACATCCCTATCACCCAGATATTCACTGTCCCTTTTGTACTAAAAAACGCTATCAGGACTGCATGATGCCGCATTGTGATGAACGTCCTGCTGTTTTTTGACATGTGGACAGCATGTCCTTTGTCAGGATGGTCCATGCTAGCCGTCCTGCTGAATGTTGTGCTGAAGTAGCTCTCCTTGGGTATCCTTGTGAACATCCACGCCATCCTCAGCGTGCCTGTCCTATCTGCCGGGGTGGGGGCTCCTCTTCCTGACTGGTCAATAGAATCAAGTGATCAGGAGCAACACTAATTGCAGGACAGATCAAGCTTTCGATACTACCAACGGATGTGGAGTTGAAGAAAGAAGAAAGAAAAAATCGAAAAAAAAAAAAAGAAAGAAAGAAAAAAGGTACAAATTTCTGAAGAAAAGAAAAAAGAAAACAAAAAAAAAAGAAAAAAAGAAAAAAAGAAAAAAGTATGTTGAACTTCGTAGTGACAGTGGCAATTGGTTTATCTGTGGGATGTGTCATTTACTTTCTTCCTTTGTCTTTTCTTTGATTGGATCCTTTCTCTTTCTTTTGCCTCTGTGAGGTCTGGCTTCCTCCTTTTCTTTACCTCTTTGCCTTTTGGCTGCGTGCAAGTGGGTCCTTGTGACACACGGGGATGGGGGCAGCCAGCGCTCAACCTGTCATCCACGTGGCTGGCCTTGTACGGAAGAGGTGATGAACAGGTGGGGCTTTCCTTCCTTACTTCTTTTCCTTTTCTTGTTTTGCTTTGTTCCCCCTTTGCGCTCTGATTCACAGTGTGACAATATATATCGTCAAACAGAACTGCCCGGTAAACCGTAGGCAGAGAAGGAGGGAGAAGAGGACAACAAACGAGGGGCTGTGACAAACTGTTTCGTTGGACTTTCACCGACTCATCAGGAGGCTGAACCCTCAACAGTCTGCAGAGTCCCCTAACTGATTACACTATAAGTGATAATCCACCTTAACCAGTTGTGGTTAAGCATGCAGGCCTTTGGAAAATGAAGGTCGTAGCCCGTTCCCACCAAACCTCTACCGAGGCCTTGGCATTGTAGATTTCGGCCCAGCTAAATCTATGAGCCAAAAAATGCATTTTACCAAGCCTAAAACCTACAAGTACAGGCACTTGGAAAAATGAAGTTGGTAGCCCTTTCCCACCAAACCTCTACCGGGCCTCGGCACTGTAGATTTTGGCCTGGTACTCACTCGTAAATGGGTAAAATCCACAGTGCAGGGGCCCCTAGGGGTGAAAAGTGAGGGTACCTGTTAACCATTTGTGTTAAACTGGTGTTTTAACGAGTTTTTACTGTATGTGTGTATTATGTGTGTAGGGGTGTATGTGTAGGTGTATATGTATGTGTGTATGTGTGTATGTGTATGTGTGTATGTGTGTATGTGTGTATGTGTATGTGTGTATGTGTGTATGTGTATGTGTGTATGTGTGTATGTGTGTATGTGTATGTGTGTATGTGTGTATGTGTGCAAAGGCGTGTATGTTTGTGTCTCCGTTTGGTGGGTAGAGAGGTGGGTCGAGATGGTGTGATTGAGAATTGGCTGGGGGGAGTTGTTGCCGTCAATTAAGAGTGTCATCGTTGTTAAGCAGGTCTTGTAATGTATGAATCAAGTACTCAGCATCCCATCCAATTCTCAAGATGCACTTCGCCAGCTGGAAGTTGTCCAACTACCGTCTTCCCCCGAACACAATCCACCCTCATTTTGGCTGTATCTGGCCGGAAGTATAACTCGTATACATTCATTTTTAGGGTGCGTTATGTTCGGGGGAAGCCGGTAGGGCTGTCATGTGAGACGCAATGCTGGGCGTGCATCTTGGAGCATTTCTTGGAAGACCAAAAGCCAAAGAAGAAACCGAGTAGCTCGCGTCAGAATCACTACGTACACAGCCCGGCAATCTCTCTCTCTCTCTCTCTCTCTCTCTCTCTCTCTCTCTCTCTCTCTCATATCCGTCGCTCCGTCCTCCCTCTGCCCTCCCTCCACCCAACCTCCTGTCGACCACCTCCCGACTTTTGCACGAACTACACCCACCCTCCACCCGGCCTCCTCGGTCCTTCCCCTATAACTCCTCCCCCTCTGAGGCTGTCCTCCTCCCATACTGTGCCGACCCTCCTTCCCCACTAGACCGATCCTCCTCCCCATCTCTACCCACCCTCCACTCCAACTGCCCCAACCCTCCATCTATAAACGTCTTCCTCATGCTCTTCGTTCTCCTCGCGCTTCTCTCTCTCTCTCTCTCTCTCTCTCTCTCTCTCTCTCTCTCTCTCTCTCTCTCTCTCTCTCTCTGTGTCTGTGTGTGTGTGTGTGTGTGTGTGTGCATGGGCTTCAAGTGGATAGATACAGAGAAGATTAGCATTCGCCTCCGCGGATGACACGTACGAATCGAGAAACCATAGCAAGCGTGTTTAACCGAGTGGTGCAGCTGACAAACAGAACCGACTTCTGAATCCGCTCTTCTCCTTATACTCGTCCTCCTCCTCAAGCTCGTCTTCCACCTCAATCTACCAATTGCTGTGCTGTGCTTCTTTCTGATGCCCGTCGTTCTCCTCATTCTCTTCCCGCTCCTCCTCCTCATTCTCTCCTCCTCATTCTCTTCGCGCTCTTTCTGCTCCTCATTCTCTTCCCGCTCTTTCTCCTCTCGCTCTTCGTCCTCATCGTCACCGTTTTTCGATCACTATGTTCTTCCCATTACGCATGCTCTCTCTCTCTCTCTCTCTCTCTCTCTCTCTCTCTCTCTCTCTCTCTCTCTCTCTCTCTCTCTCTCCACATTCCCCTCCCCTCTTCCCTCCCTCCTTACTCCACCCACTCCCCCCCTTTCTCCTTCCTCCCGGCCCTCCTTCCTTCGCCCAATCTCCGCCTAACCTCCTTCCTCGCGATCTCCTCCCTCCCCTTCCTTCCTCATCCCGATCTCCAC